TATATATATGTATAAATATACTTCATTTTGAAGTATATCCCGTTTTAAGGAGGTCTAAGTATATATATACTCTCTCAATATATATATTTATATCATATATTTATATATACATAATAATGAAAACTGTGGAAGTAAGCAATTATTTACAAGTCATGATCCACCAGCCTATAAAGCAAGTTCACACTGAATAAAGATGAGAAGAGCTCAATCAGTCACTCGTCTTCTTCAACAGCCCCGAGCCAAGCTAAGCCGATAAACAGCTGTTTGCTGAAGGCGCGGAGAAAAAAAGTGAGCGTTTTGGCGGCAAGTGTGATTTAGTGGCGCCCAAATTACAGGTACGAAGCGCTGAGATATGGCTCCGTTTAGGCTCTTTGCTCTTCCAGGTGTGAACTGGCTTTCAACTCGATTCATCGACATCTCACCGATTCCTACCTGAATCAGAAAAAGTTTCAGAGTCCTAAATATACTAAATTATAACGATCGTTATGATAGAATCGATATACCGGGTCGAACGTTCATCTGTGTCCACAGTAGCCGATCCAGGATTTTATTTTGGCTTGATTATTTTCTATTCAGTTTTTTGACGGTGATTACTCTTAAGAAAAATACAGAAACTATAAAACTACATAAAATAATGTATAAGTGGCACTAGCGGATCCAAAATTTAATTTTGGGCAGGCTTCAACCCGAATTTTTTTTTTCATATATACAACAATAATTAATTTGAAAAAAAAAAAGAAATTAACTACCTACGTAAAATGGTGTTTAAGTGATTCTCGAAGTCCTATTAAATGTAATCACGCAGACAATAATACTTTAAAAGATAGTTTTTAATAGTTTTTTCTATAAAACATGGTTATACTTTACCGTTTTTGGGGGGGCGGGAGGAGGAGGGGCTTAGCCCGAAAGCCTCCCCCATCCCGTAGCTCTAAAAAAAAAGAATAATACTTTTAGAGATAAATTTTCTATATATTTTTCTTGGCACATGCTTAGATCTAGTACCTGAAAAACATACATTATAATTTAAAAAGGGTACATATTTTGATTCTTCTAGTATTTTGCTCAGACCGCTCACAGAAACAAATATGCACCAATAAAAATAAAAAATATATATTTCTCCATTTTGAAGACTTCAAGGGGAAGGCCACCCCCTCTCTCCCTCCCTGCAGATCTACCAGAGAGGAATGGATGGAATTCAGAGCGTTTCTTTATTCCGCAATTGAATCAGTGATTCCATCGGAAATTGGAGACAATGGATCCGCTGCATGTAACCTTACATATTAATATTAATTTTATTGAGTATATAATAGTTGACCGTTGCATTATAAAGGAAGGAGATGGTCCGGGGTGGCGGTCATAAATAGGCTATATAGTGCCAACACTATTTTATTAAAAGCCAACGTTTCGAGCCGACTTCCCAGGTCTTCTTCAGGGTGGTGTGTTCAGCTAGGAATTTCACTTCGAACTGCCACTATTCAGCCTATTTATGACCGCCACCCCTGCCCATCTCCTTCCTATATTAATTTTACTTTCTGTCTATATTTATTTGTTTTTAAATTCAAGATGTAGTTTTGTAACCTTCAAGAAGTGTTACACTTCCACTGTAATCCATCAAGACCTCCTCAACTCAGTATGATGAAATCCATTGATGGAATTAGTGCTAGGTTTAGAAACTTGCTCCTTTATTAATAATATAGGAGTGGAGTAGGACTGAAGAAATAATCTAATTGGTATTTCATAGCTAGAAAAACCATTATCAAATCTTTTACTAATTATATTTCAGTTTGATAAGTTATACCCTTTAATTTAATTAATCAAATTAAAATTGGGTATAAGATTACTTTGATTTATTTATAATTTTTAATCTATTTTTTATTTTTATTATTTATTATTTATTACATTTATTTTCCTGTTTTTGTATATATTGTACGAATGAACCCTTGTAGCCATAATACTTGTTGCCCTTCAATGAGGCAGATTGTATTATCAATAAATAAACTGTAAAAAAAAAAAGAAAAAACAAATTAAAAGGACATTTCACTCAAGAGGGAAAGTTCTTATTGGCAATAAAATGAGCAACAAATTCCATTTCAGCAGTCAGATGGAGTTAGACAAAGTGGATGATGCTCTGTCGGCCATATTGTTTAACTAGCTCTGAACAAAGACCTGAAAACAATTGAAGGAAGAGGACGTTTGGTAAGGTCAATGATAAATGGTACTTTAAATTTAATAAAAGAGAATTTCAGGAGATCTAACATGGCCACTGTATTGCTGCAGTTACAGTACTCGTACACAAGCAGCATATCTTTGTACAACAGCGGACCACCTGAAAGTTCCTTTTATCATTGACCTTACTAAATTTAATCAGTTTTCTAAAAAAAAAAAAATTGTCTACTTTACAATGGTGTACTTAGAATTTAATTATCTTGAGTGATTCCTTCTTATTTGATAAGAAAGGTGACTACCTTAATAAAAGCACAAAATTGTTCTTATCTCCTTTTCCATCCAGACAATTCTGGATGGAAAAGGAGGTATGTGTTGACTAAAGTCTGAAGATTAATAAATTCCTATACACTTCGTGCAGTTGAAATTATTTCAAATCGGTTGTAACCTAAGAAAACATATTTTGGGGGAATAATTGGTTTTTTATCGGTCCGCAGAACTATATTATATCAATAGATAAATTAAACTATTTTTCTTTTCTTCACTCCTAATTTATTTATGTTGTGATATAATAGTATATTACTTTATATATCTGAATGGGTCTTCATAATTTACTGCTAACAAGTAAAGGGGAAATATAGAACTAACATAAACTATCCATAATATTCATTATGAAAAAACAATCCAAGTAATACTGGAAAGAGTTTCAAAATTTTATGATTTTTTTGTTAATAGTTATAAATCTACTTTTGTAAAATTTTATTTAATTAAATTAGTTTAAAAAGAAATAAACTTAATACTTTCAAAATATGAAATGTTTATTTTTCAAATAATAAAAAATTATTAACTTTAATGTGTTGAATCAACTTTTTTATTCGAAATTTTGTCTAGAATCAACCCACAGAGTTTGGTCATTAAAAACTGAGACGCCTGTATAAAATAAATAATAAATGTATGAATAAATCTCTTACATAACTTTTAAATAAGTTGGTTTTATCTTGATTATTTTTGCCAATTAGTTTTTGAAATTCCATGAAAAATGTAAAATTTCCTTTCTAGGCTGCTTTTGAACCTTCTACTTAATATCTTTTTGAAAATGAAAAAGACTTATGTGTATGAAGTACTTTCTTCGTTCTATTACCCTCTTTACAAGAAATAATGACATTCTAAATCTATAATCAATATTAATTATTAAAACTTAAAACTCGCCCTCGGCTGTCCCAGTCAATGATTTTATCATTTCAACAGTTTACGTGAGCGTTCTACAAACCTTCTCGAACTCAATGGAAATATATCTTCTCTATAAAATATTCTCATATTTCACTCCTGCGGGTACATTTGTTACAAAAATCTTCTCATTAAAAATGATAAACCATTGTTCGATGACTCCAACCTCTAGCTCTGGCCGTTTTCAACTCACCCACAAAAAGACCAAAAAAGGAGGCGGTATGTGTTTCCAGTTGTGTGTTATTAATGCTGAATGCCTTAAAACAAGGCTGGTCGATCACATCCAATAAAACTTTAGTAAAGTAGTTCTATTGAAAATAATAATGTTTAAAATATGATACTGTTTTAATTCAATCTCTCTTCCCTCATATTCAGTATTCAGTAGTGATAAGTATTTTTTTTTTTAAACTTTTATCAGAAAATTAAAACTTTGCTTTAATAAAGTTAAAGATTAGTTAAAAGCTTTGAAGTTAAAACTTTAGTTAATGAAGTGCTCCCCTGATTTTTAAATATTGAATACACGACAGAAGGGAGAAATTTGGTCCAAAGGAGGTTATATTTTAAATAGTTTGACCTTAATTTTCAGTATCAAAATTTAAACTTCTTTTTTTTTAACAATGGAAAAATATAATAAAACTAGTTGGCCCATGCGAATAATTGCAGAACATTTTGTTTAGTGCAGGAATAGAAAACAATATGAAAATAAGTAGAGCCTATAGGATTATGTGATGCAGGAATTAATTGTTTCTTTTTTTGGTCGATTACAATATTCCATTTAACATAATAGACCAAAATATTTGTACAAATTGCTTTAGTAGAGCCTATTTTTAAATGCTGACTGGAAAAGTAATATAAAGTAATAAAGCCTCGATCATGGGATTTTCTAAATTATCAAAAATATAAAATGTAAGAACAAACAAATCCCTTTAAGAAATAATAAAGTTAATATATCAGCTAGGAAAAAAAGTGCAGCAGAATAGTAAATGCAGTATCTTTTAAGAGGAAGAAATTATTATGTATACCAAAATTAATGGACTGTATTTTTGTAAATAATTGTCCAATTTTTACATTTTTTTGTTTGTTTTGTAGATAAATTTAGTAATATTTCTAATAATCATGGCCACAATCAAGAAAAAAATATGACTACTTTTCACATGTGAAAGAGAAGAACATCTTCAAAATGAGTGGTCAATCATTGGATTTGATGAATAATTGACAAAGTTATTATCAAAAGAACACCTTTTAGAAATAATATATAAGATCTTCTTGACATGGACAATACTTCTCTCTTTAAAAGTATTTGTCTAAAATTGAATAGAAGAAAATTATAAAAATTTGTTAAACCAATCAGGTCAAGTTAAAATTTTCCATGATTTTATAAATTTATATATTGTTAAATTTTAATTACTAAACAAATTGTTGTAATTTCAATGAACAACTTAGAAATGTAAAATAACTTGTTTAAACCATATGTACCTTTCTTTATTTGTGATGATTACGTAATAACCAAAAATATTAAAATATAAAATAGTTATCTAAAAAGACAAGTTTTATAGATTAATATATTTGTCCTATGCAATAAAGGAAACGAATAAAGTTAATTTAAAAGCAAAAAAAAAGTAATATAACAGAAAACAATAAAAATGCTTTATTAATAAAACAATACAATATCATATGATAAATGCAAGAATAGAAATGGTTCAAGAACATGCTTTTAATTTTTACCTAAATTTTATTTTGGATTATATAACATATATAATTCATATTTGATTACATAATAACATGTATTAATTTTTATAAACGATCTCGACTACATATACATATACATAGCTTTTTTAAAAACTATACTATCCCTACACCGATAATGTAATAATTCTATGCTGTTAATTAGTCATATCCATGCATTATCTAATGACAGCTAAACACTTAGTTAGCCTAATTAGTTGTGATTCCGTAGATTTTTCAACACCTAAAGAAAGAAAAATCTTAAAACATATACAAGAGACAGCAACGTAATCGGCAAAGAGTACCAAATTATTAATTGAAGAATAACATATTGAACATCCACATTCTTTTCAGCTGGTCCATAATTTCTATACTGCCATATAAAACTCTACATCCTCAATATAAAAATAATATAAAAAACTAACATTACCAAAAGATATATTCCGTTGTCTCATAATGTAGAAGGATAAAGGTAACTTCAAGGTTACTGTCATAAAAGATAGTTACTATATCTCTTCTAACATCTATCTAATCCAAAAAGTTATTTTATTACTATTATTTTTTTTTTCAAATTGAAGTTACTCATTAACATATGACTCAGGGTGCCTACTGAACCTATTATATTCCAAGATTCCACTGAGTTGAGTTATCAGTTTACATTCTAACTACAAGGCTACATGAGATGTAAAAGTGTAAGAAAGAAGTTGAGATATATTAATCGAGTGATTAAGGAATGAAAATGTTCATAAGAAAGAAATTGGGCACCAGTATTTAGTGACCTGACTAAAAAAGATAAAAATAATATCAAACAAATATAAATCAATGTTTAAGCCTTTCAGATTATGTTTCATAAATTATAATTTAAAAAACACTTAATGGACAAACTTTTTAAATACCAACATTTCTAAAAAAATCTAATTTATTTTTCCTACAATTCGGCATTTTCCAAACTTGTAGACACTCTGGTTAAATTAAAGTTTAACTTCAATTTTTTTTTTCTGTTTCTTCTTTTTTAAAAAATTATTCTTTTCTTAGAAAAAAAAAATAATAACATTGATGACTTATGCCTCTTAGGTAATTTAAGATGTAATAGAGACATTTTAAAATTTTTTTGATTGAATTATATCAAGTTATAGCTAGATGAGCAATAAACATACATATATATATTTTTATGTTAGTAAACCTATATTTTAAGTATTCTGCCATTAAATCCTAATGATAAAATTTTTATTAACTATAAAATAAAAAAAAACAAAAAAATAATACAAGATATATCCTCTTTGCTGATGGTTTCTGTTTTCTTAAATCGGACAATGGTAACAATATTTCAAATGGACTATTGAATATCCTCGGACTGTTTATATTTCCACTTAAAATTATTTGTTAAAAACATAGCTTCATAAGCTACTGTTAAATGTTGATTTAAAAGACTATTTATTATTGACTGGAATACAACAAATAATATTAGCTATTCCAGTGAATAATTTGTGAATATATATCATTTAACTTATGTACACTGATAAAAAATAAAGAAAAAAAGCAGTCAATTTTTATAGCTTTATTCACTTTTTATAAAATCTGAAAAATATTTTACTTTGAAGCTTAGAGTTGTTATTTTATAGTGAATATCTAAACTCAATAGAACTTAATAAGATATGTTGCCAAAATGAACAGAGACTGGACCATATTTAATAGGAAAGCTTTGACAATTAAGACTGGAGATATTAATCAATGATTAATTTATTGATTAAATAATTGAGATTGACCACTTTTTTTATCTTTAAATTTAATATATCAAATATTTTAATATATGCTATCCTATAAGAAAATGAAATTAAAATCTTAAAACATAAAAAATATAATTTGAATTTTTGTTCAGAAAATAATACTTGTTATATATCTTTGGCTAAGTAAACCAATAATGTTAAAAATATACATCTAGATATTTATTTATATATATACTCTTTGCTACAATGAAACAACACCACAAACGCACATTTGGACGGATAGTTTCTTATCAGAAACACAAAGTCTATTTACAGTTGGAACCTGGACAACAGGCACACACTCGCACACAATGCCATTTACGTATAAATGTATATTAACTTAATCATTGCACAGTAGGCCTGCCATTCTATACGACGATGTGAGCAAATTTTACAAAATTGCCAGATTTTTTATTTTTATTTTTAATTTACAGCAATTCAAATGATGAATTTAAAAGGAAAAGAAAAAAAATTAAAATACTGACTAAATTAAGTTCTGACTAATATATACATATTAACAATTCATATATTTACATATATACTTTTACACTTATCAATAATTGCTGATAAATTATTTTTAATATTCAACTGTGAGCACTTCATTTCGATTATTAAAAATAAGTGTCACATTATAAAAAATAAAAAATCCCAGAATAACGGAAACGAAAACTGAAGGAAGACGGTAATGTCAAACTATTACATCAGAGGTTTACATAATTATAGGAGCAGACCTGTCATTTGTTTTTGTTTTCTTCAACTTCACTGTAGCAAATACATTTCCTCTGAAAAATAAGAGTAACAATGAAGAAATTTCTCAAAAAAAGAAATTATAAAGAATTTCTACTATAAAACATGCCTAATCTAAAAATAATAATATAATCCAGATAATTTAAAAAGGGTTAATACAATAATAATTATTTTTATATTAATTTGTTGTGGTATTGTTATATTTAAAAGATATTAAACATCTGATTTTTTTTTTCTATATAAATTGAAGTGTAATAATATCACCTCTAGTACTTCTAACTTTGTTTTTAGAAGTACTGAGGACAGTGGATAAATTATATCATTAATGTAACTTGCAAAATATCACTATATACAGCAATATAAACATAACAACATTTTGACTTACAGTAACTTTGAGCAATAACAATTACATAGATTGATACATAAATATAATACAATATTCCAACACCAATAAGTAAATGAATACCGTATCAGGCATTGATTTCATCCCAGGAGTTGTACCAAGGATGCGCAGTACCAATTCTACTCTGGTGGAGTTCGACAGTTGTCGTGGTTTCCTTTTTCCTTATAAGACGAGTTCTTGGAAGCATTGTGGATGTCTCATCGGTTTTCTTGTGATGATCGTTGACAACAATACACGAATCAGTATCAGGTGAATCTTCTGAATTATTTTGTGGAGGCATCCTTCTGTTCTTCAAAGTTAACATCTTTTTCTGTTTTGCCTCTTCTTGGGAGATATCTATCAACGATCTATGCCGCCACATGGCCATCCCTTCTACAACTCCTTCGTCTTCACGATTTCTGAACTTCCAAAGAGATTTTGTTCTTTTCACTTTCTTTTCATACGGCATTTCAAGGGCTTTGAGCTGGCGACGAGCCTGGCGCAGACGAGGATCTACTTCCTTTCTGCCCAGAGTGGAAAGATGACTAGCACTCGACGTTTGGCGCACCATTGAGGCTGACTTCTCGAACCACTCGTCGTCTGTCCAAGATCTCATGGTGTCGTCCTTCCTCCGAACGATGGTGTCTCTAATCAACCAAGAATTGTATAAATATTGGCAACTTTTATTGAAATTTTCCACCACCTTTAATAGATCTCAAGTCCTCTATAGGAAGATTACAAGGCTATCTAGATGTTAGGCAACTTAAACTTCCAATACCACTAAAATCTTTCCAACACCACAAGTTTCACTAATTCTTAATTCTTTCATCATGCAACCATCACCAGAATTCCTTACAGGAACCCGGGAATCAAATCCAGATTACAAAGATTCTAGTCTTTGACTTAACCATCATACCACAGAGAAGATAACATAAAAAAATATATATATATTTATATTACGAGCAGGTTATTTTTTAATAATTCATAGAATGAAAGATAGGTAAATGATTAGAAATAAAAAATATAATAACCTTAAAAAAAAGAAGATAGTACTAGTGTATAAAGGATGTAAATATATCCTAATAGTATTTTGAAAAATAATAAAGTTAATTTTTAAAGTAATAAAAAGCAATAATTGTAGTATAAGTGAAAAGACAAGCCTCAAAAGATAGGAATTATTAGTGAAATATTCCCAAAAAAAATTAAAAAACTTTATTAATGTTAGCAGTAATAAAGAAGTAAATTTTCAGAAATAAAACAAATATTCTCAGATATCAGTAAACGATAAATAAGAATAGATTGATCTTTGGAGTACAAACTTAATATTCTATTAAAACAAATGGATTACTTTTGAAATAAATGATTAAATTTTCCGCAAACAGATTACAATCATTACATATAAAATAATGATTACTCTGTTCCTACATGATAATCCCATACAATTTTACCCCACCATCAACGACCTTGGAAAAAACCTTTGGTGAAACAATTTCCTGAAAAAACCATGTATCCAATATCTCCCCCTGTACCTTTTACACCTTTAAACATCTAAATTACCTCCGTCATCTATTTCCCTTAGAAACTCGTAGGCTCTTAGTAACTTCCTTAATATTTGCCCACTTTGACTATTGCTGAATGGTAAATCTCTGGAGATCTCGAGACAAAACTAAACATTTGATAAATTACTTTATACGATTCATCTTCAAGATCCCAAGGGACGCCTCTGTTTCCTGTTTTTATTGGCAATTTTGCCCCTTCAATTCAAATCTTCTGTTCAATCTCATAAAACCCATTTTTGGCCTTTTATTGTCCGATCCTCCAATCTATGGAATATCCTCCAATACCCTCCTCATGCCATCTATCCATCACTTCCTATCCATGCAGTTCTCAAAAATTCTAAATAGAATAAAGACTTTTTCCACTCGTGAGTTTGTCTGTCCCATATTGTACTCAATAGGAAAATTAAAGGCTCGAAACGATAATTTTCGATAAGCCAGTACGTTTGAAACCAACCAATTTAGCTACTCACATAAGTACTTGAACACCGAATGGATGACTATACCTTTCCTAAGTTTGATTTTATTTTGGATTTCTTTTCAAACATATTTTATTTGGTAAAGAACTAGCCATGTTCGACTTGATTATAATTTTTTGGTCTGAGCGGTAAGCATCCTACTTTATTTGTCAATTGTTCTTAAATATTAAACGTTTTAAATTAATTATTTTTAGTTGGTTACATGTTCTCTTATGCAAAGAAAATATAATTATTAATGTTTGGTTCCTATGGATTTTCATTATTTATTTACCTGAACCTAAACCTATACCATGTCACTACAGGTAATTCTGTAAATAGGTATATACATAATTTGTTAACTATAGAATTCTTATTTCTGTTTGTATATTATGTAGTTAACATTACTGTATTTTGTTTTAAAGGAACTCGTATAGGAATAGATAAATAATATACTATCATTGTTATATTATTAAGACATAGAGAATGATCGAGAAATGGGTTTATCCAGTGAAGTCAATTACTTGGCAAAAACTTTTTTATGAGAAGGAGTTAGTCGAGGGTGCGGTCAAATAAATAAAAAAATTAAAATATATAAATTGTTTTAATTTTTGCCGACGTTTCGACCCACTTTGCAGGTCGTCTTCAGGGCTACAAAAGATACAAACATGTTGAAGAAATAAAAATAAAATAAAAAGTAAATATAAGTATATATAAAATACGAAGAAGTTGTCAGATACAGAAATAAAAGATAAAGAAAATAAATACATGATAAGAAAATAGATAAAAGAAAATAAATACATGAATGTTAACGAATAAATGAATGTTAACGAATAAATAGATTGAAAATTGAATAACTATTGTTACATTAACGTCAGAAAAAATTAAAACAATTTATATATTTTAATTTTTTTATTTATTTGACCGCACCCTCGACTAACTCCTTCTCATATCATATCAACGGTCAACCATCTCTACATCATTAAGAAAAACTTTTTTAAAAAAACAGTGTTATAAAGTAAAGATTCCTACAACAATAAAATGATGTTAATGTTAAATATATTTTCAATAAAATTAAATAAATAAATAATAATAAGGAAGACAAACAACAAAGTGATTTTTCAGAACAATCTAAAGGATTTAAATTTTCAAGTATCATACTACCGGTTATTTTATCTTTTTTATGAAATATAAAATGCAACTAAAATTAATTATAAGGCTAGATTACGTGAAGATTAGTAAATATGGATTTTTAATTATACATAAAATATTTCAGGTATGATTATGAAAAGTTCAAACAAAAGAAAATGTCAATGTAAAGTTAATGCTGCCATTTGTTACAAAACTATTTGGCTTAGATTTTCCTTATGGTCTTCATCAAAATTAAGATAATTTTAGTTTTGTAAGTTATTAAAATGTAATAAAATTAAGTAATTTAATTCTTGGAGGACATTTTTTAGTATTTTTTTTTTTATAAATAGGAATATTAGAATAGACAACTTTTTAAATCAAACATTTACACAAAGGTTAGAGCATTCCAGAAAATGGCTAAATAATGATTAATAACATAATTATGTTTTGATTCTATTAATATTTATTATTTTATTCTGTTAGAAAAAAATTCACATTTAAATCAATAACGAATTCAAAAAATTTGTTAATTTAAAAAAATTTGCCTCAGCCACATGCACATATAAAATCTCTCAATACCTTTTCTAGAGTAATAGCAAATTTTAATAATAATTTATCATTAAAATATAGTGTATTTACAGCACAATAAAATTAAGTGAGTTATAAGTTAAGAGTGCAAAATTACTAATTCTAGATAGTGATTAATTAATAGATTAAAAAACAATAGAAAATAGTTCCAATGGTAACATTAAGTAAATAAGCGCCAAATACATTTTTTTGGATAGAATTTTTCCAATACCTTTCATTGGGTATCAGTGGAGTAATAGTTGACTGTGGTGGATATATTAAAAAAGAGTTGGTTGGGGTGTGCAATCGCAAGTAACAAAGTAAAAATAAATAAATTATATTTATTGTTACTTTTGCTGACGTTTTAGCCCAAGGTTCAGGCCTTCATCAAGACTAAGAAAAGACAAGATAAAAAAAAAAAAAAGAAAAGACAACATTACTTAGAAACAAAATGTCAACCAAAATTAAAATAAATATAATTTATTTATTTTTACTTTGTTACTTGTGACTGCACACCCCAACTAAACTCTTCTTCAATATTTTACTTTATATATTTTTTCAATTGTATTATTTTTTATAATTTATTTATTTTAGTTATTCAAATTTTAAAAGGTTTCTGAATTTATTTATTTTTTTATAATATTTCTCAAAAATATTTTATTTTTCGATACATCATATAAATCCAATGATTTATCCATCATCTTGAATATTATCTTCTCCTTCAGCTGTGAAAGATTAACATTTTCCCCAGAACCGTCACGTAAAAAGTTACGAATAAAAGGAAACTTTATGTACACATAACTCAAAAAGTATACTGTTTGTGGTTGATTGTAATTAGAAAGATTTCTGAATTGCATAGTTAATAAAGAAAAAAATCATCGAAATCGGACCATTATTAGCTGGTATACAGGCAATTTTATTTTATATAAATGTTTTGGCCTATTATTTTGAATAAAAATTAATTTCTTCCTGTAATAATACATCATGGGTGATAAATAGTCAGGACGCAGTCATTTTAAAGGTTTTTATTAGTTCCGATGTTTCAACCCAAACATATGTGGGTCATCATCAGAGCATGTTTCGAGCACTGAAGGTGTTCAAGTACTCGAACAGAGATCTATTATCTGTTACAGTATATAGGTATTCAAAGGGAGAAAAAGGACTGTATGGTAAAGAGTGGGATGTATAGTTCGACTAAGTGTGAAGCAATGTATTTCCAGTTTATGTGACAAATTCTAAAATCCTTGTGCAATTGAATATTGGAAAAAAATTTCAGTTGAAATTATCAGTTTGGAACCAAGTAATTAAACAGTAGAAGATATATAATGGCCATGAACAACTCATCAACGATTACTATAATTAATTTGAATAATTCAGATTTGTAACTAAATTAAAAGAATAATTGTGGATTAAAAGTTGACTGTTGTAGTTGTAGTTGGAAAACAATGAAGAGGAGTTGATTGGGGTGAGCAGTCACAAGTAAAAATAAATTTAGGCTCTCTTGATCTTCTTCTACGAGAAGACTAGTTTCGGCTCAAGATGAAAAGGGAAGGCCAGGTGAATCTACTGGTGAATCTCCGAGTGAGGATCAGTGAAGACCCTAATAGATGGAATAGCATTCTTCAGAACACGTTAAAAGATTGGAACCAGCGAAGGGTGGCAATGCCAAAAACGGCTACCCTAAGAAAATACTTCCCCACTGTTATTTCACGAATGGAACAGACATACAAGAATGGGAAACATGGGTTCTTCCAGAATACTGGGTCTCACAGTTCCTCATGAAGCATGGGAATTTCCGAGCAAAGCTCGTTGAATATGGTAAGAACATTGATCCCCTAGGCCCAAGTTGCGGAATACTGGAGACCGCCGAGCATATTGTTCTTTTCTGTACTGCTATTGAGGCACTGAGGGCCAAGTTGTTGAGGGAGATGGGACTTTACTTTCTGACAGAAAGCGATCTCCCTTAAGTAAGGAAAAATATCTGTACTACAGGGCCTTCGTGTATGGGTGGAAGGAAATAGAAATAGAAAATAACTTTATTCTGGGACCAAATCCTTTAAGAATAACAAAATAGAACAAAATTAAAAGATTGCATCTGGCCTAAATAAAAACAATAGAAAAAAATTAGTTGCTTCAATCCATTGGAAAGAAGAGATAGACTTGCATCCAGAAGGCCGTCAGAAAGGATGGAAGAGGACGTCAGCTGAAAAGAAGAGCAGGCTGTGGGCACAGCTAAAAAATTAAATGTAATTAGTCTGAATGCAGCAGTGAGTTGCAACGCATGCTTTACTACCCACTGCTGCCTAACACCCATAATGCCTTACCGACAGGGTAAGGTTCAAATAAATAAAAATAAGTGCTAAGAAAAGACAAGATAACACTAAAATATCACTGAAGGTGCTTGGAACATGCCCTGATGATGACCCACATGCTTGGGTTGAAACGTCGGCACTAATAAAAACCTTAAAAATTACTGCGTCCTGACTATTTATCGCCCATGATATGTAGAACAAACAACTAACTTCCTTCACTAATAATACATTGCATTTAATTACTTTTATATTATATGAACATCTGTTCACTAATATCACTACTATAGCGATGTACTATGCGAATCATTTGCAGAGGCTACAAGTAGTTATAACTTATTTTCATAATTTACCATTGAAACTACTATGAATTAGTTATAAGTGTTACAATAACACAGTCAGTTGATGATTGTATACCTGTTTGTTTCATCATCGGAGTAGTCCACTTCGGGAGCAGGAGGGGGATCGTTGCTGAACCCACTGTCGTTGCTAGAATGAAGTGAAGCTGGATTGGGAACAACTCCTGGTTTTGAAACACCTGGGCGTACAGTCGGCTTTGGCAATGGAACGGTAGGGGCTGGGCCACTGGGTGGGCCGCCGCGACCTTCTTGGACCTGAAAAATAAAAAAGTATTTAATAATTTATTTAGAATTTCGTAGAATATAATATTAATATAATTATATTTCATCTTCAAAGATTAGTCATATATTTTTTATTTAATGACTCGAGAATTTAAATAAAACTCCAGCAACAAAAATTTGTTGCTTAAATGTAATATTATCTTTAACTTATTAACAGAGTGCTGTTTTCCAAAAGTAATTTTTAGTTTCCCAAAATTAGAGATTATTTGTTTTGATCCATAGCTTTTTAAAAATCAATTTTAATGGCTAATTATATTTTATTGCATATAAAAAAAAAAACCACTTAACAAAAGGTTCCTTATTTATATAAACTAAATATAGTTCTTATACAGATACAGTCTATATCAAAAATATCATATTATTCTTAATAAATCCACATTTTATCTCTATTTTCACTCTATTACATTACTTCATTTGCTTATCATAATTTGCAGAAAACTCATATTTTATAATAATAATAATAAAAAAAAAATAAAAAAAATGTAGAGATATTTTTTTGAAGTCTGGAGGTTTATTTAAATTAAATTCCTTAAAAATCGTTTAAAAAAATAAAAATAAAGTAAAACATAGTGTCAACAATAAATGAGCTATAAGAAGAAAGCTTAAATTAAAAACTAAACTAGCTATTTGGGAAGTTACATATTAAAATTTTTACAATATATACTAACTATTTGAATAGTCGTCTTTATTTAAAAGAAATTCTCTGAAAAGTTTTTCAAACTCATTTTATTTACTAATGTATCTGATGAATTTTCTAAACCAATAATAGTTTACTCAGAGGAGTAGCTAAGAAGTGAACAGATCCGTCAAACCTGGATTGAGAAAATTTTGAAAGTGGGTAATAGTCATGAAGTTTGCGTCAAATGCTAGTGTACATAGGTGGATCTACAGAGGGGAGGGGAGGCTGAAGCCCCCGTCCCCCAAAATGGTAAAATGTAACCATGTTTTATGATAAAAAATTATCTCGTAAAGTATTATTGTTCGTGTTATTACATTTAATAGGAAGTGGGTACCCTTAATTAAAGTGGGTACCCTTGTATAAAGTGGCTACCTTTAATTAAATAATTGATTAAGGGGGAAAACTTGGCAGTTGAGCGTGATCCTCACCCGATCTCCTCCCTGCACAACTGTAGGCCTTGTAACAGATCTTTCCTAAATAGTACTGAACCCAAGACCCTTCATGGGTTCTAGTGGTACAGGTAAGTAAATTATCGTTTTATATATATATGAAAAAAAAAGCTTTTGGTATGAAGCCCCCAAAATTAAATTCTGGATTCGCCAGTGCTAGTTGACTTAGCTATTGTTACAGAGTTTATTTTATATATTATGACATATATATATATATATATATATATATATATATATATATATATATATATATATATATCAAATTACCTAAATATACAAGCTATAAGCATATATTAATACATTTTAACAAAGATAAAAAAATAATTGATTATTAGCTATAAAAAATTTATTCAGAATGTTTGAGCAGGAATGATCATGTAAAATAAAATGAATATTTGCATATAAAGATATCTTTTAGCTAACTATATATAAAAAAAAACTTTTATCTTGCTACTTTTTTTGCCTCTCCCCCCTCCTACCCTCTCCTGTGATCACCCATGTTCTTAAGTCTTAATATAACAATGTTCCAGTCCAATTTCAAATTCAAAATAAATTCTAATATAAAGTCACCTCCTACTCCCAAAATAACTTCAGTTTATGGTAATGTAATTCACATTTATGAACTAATTTAAAAAGAAACTTAGTATGACTTTTATCTTATTAGAAAAGTTGATTCATAGTTTCTTTCTATTTACTTTTATGTTACTTCAATATTTTATTCAAGTATAAATAAATAAATAAATATTTTATTCAACACAAAACTTTTGGAAATACACAACGTACTACTGATACATTTTTACTTGCTAAATTTATCTATTTCTATGTATCAATATATTCAAAAAAGCAGCAATAATATTAGTTAAACGATTTAAATTAAGTGAGTACTACCAGCATACAGAGTGGATTCATCAAAGGTATTTAAAACAAAAACAGTATTACGTAATATTAAATTTGACTAATAACCTGTATCATATCATTTTGAGAACAATCATGTCCGATTCATTAAATAATAAATGCCTTTAATACTACTAATAATAATACAATTACACAGTAATGCATCAAATCTAATAATTAAGAAATATTTCATAAAACTAATATAAATATAGAAAATTTAGAAATAATCAAAACATATTTAAAATATAATTTTTTTTTTTAATTTGATATTCCTATATTTAATCATTAAAATAAATATTACAAGGCATTTACTGTTTAATGATAAATTATATGTATCTGTTTGCTGTTAGTACATAGGCCAGTTCTTCATTGACTTCACCACATCTTCAAAACCCTGAAAACAATTGAAATAAATAAGAATATTTTATTATTAAAAATCCACTCAACAAACTCATTCACAATTATCTCCATTGTTCCTAAGGAACTCAAAACAAGATTTTGATGAACAATCCTTTTTTTTTTTTTTAAAGAATTAAAGCCCAATATTCAAAATCTGTCCTTTGAGACAGATTGTAATATTTCTCAATAAAAAAAAAATAATGAAAATCAGTAGAGGTTGATAAAGTTGAATACAACCAAGGATGTTACGGTGGTTAAACAGAGATGCTGAATATATTCAAGGATATTTATGTGTTTCTCATACAAAAAAGTGTATAATTCACAGGCGGATATAAGGGAGGCTTTCGAGCTGAAGCAACCTCCCCAAAATGATAAAATTTAGCCATTTCTTGTGAAAAAAAATGTTAAAAAATTATCCTTAAAAGTATTAATACTCGTGTAACTCCATTTAATAGGATATCAACAATCACTAATACACCATTTCATATAGGTAGTTGGTTTCTTTCTTTTTCTTACAAAGTAATTATCATTATATGTATATATAAAAAATATTTTTGGGCTGAAGCCCACCAAAATTAAATCCTGGATCCATCATGGGTAGAAGTCATCTTATTTTAAAATATTAAAGATATGTTTTGAGAAATACACGTTAAGAGTCATTATAGATTTATATTCATATAAAAGAACAGATAATGTAGTACGAATTGGATATTTCAATAAAATTAAATTTGCTAATAAAAAAAAAAAGTAAAAACTCAAAATATTTTACAAGGACTGATGAGCAATAGAAAGAAAAATTCATAAAATTGGAAATAACTTTGTATTTAATAAAAATATGACGGCCTTGTCTAAATGCTCTCGATTCCCACCTTGATCCTCAGTTAATATTTATTTCTTGGTGGTTCCAGAAATGAATTCTGAGTCTCCCATTCTGGTAAGTACAAGGTACAAACCTCAAGATTGCCGTCAGAGGTTGGCAAAAAGAACCACAAGGCCCACTTGCAGTACAAGTTTCTCCCATCAGTACTAGTACGAGTGTTAGAATAAAAGCAGAAATGATAAAAATCATTTTAGTATTTCTTAACATTAATTCAAATTACTAACTCCTAGAAAATATTAAGACTTAAATATATTTAAAAAATTATCATATCCTCATAATATTACTGGTTATGATAAATATTATAAAATAATGTTCTTATGAATAAAATACCATCAGTTTATATTGTTTATTAAAATTCACAGGTTTATTATAGCGACAGGTTTTAATTAGTATAAATATTTTTCATATATAAAAGGATTTGTCTCATTTTGAACTACTTGTTACGTTTTTGCATTAATAAATAAGGTCGAAATTTAGAAAAACATAATTATATAAAGTATAGATTTATATTAATGACTTTTCACAATAAAACCAACAATTTTACACTCCATATAGACTTATATTAAAAAAAATAATATAAAAATAAATTCAATGTAAACTATCTTTACCTGAGTATTATTCCTCAAAGCTAGAGTATCACCAAATCTTGTCAGATGTGGAGGACCTCGGTTACCTCTTCCAACAGCACCAAGAAAACCTGATGATGCTTCTTCTGTCCTTCGATGAGTAGGCGATGATGCGCTCCTGAAACAATAAGTTATTAATTATTATCAAAGCAACTGATCATATTTCATATACTTTATTAAAACTATGCTGAATTACTTACGTAGCTGTATCATCAATAAATGGTTCAGTATAGGCAAGTGGAAACCATCCGCTGCACTGAGTTCTAAGATTTTCTCCAAATTGCCATCCTTTGTTCCTCTCACCTAAAATAATTGTGTGGTCAGTGATCATTCATGTAGTATATTTTAACATTAAAACTGTGTGGTAAACAAAGATCTGGAAACTTAATAACACTGATTTGGTAAGGATAGATACACGATGAGACATTTGGTGAGAGACTTACTTGTCAACTCTTAAATCAATACCTGACAGTATCTTCGTACTATGACTCGTAATTTGCAAATTAAACTATATGAAAATAAAATAAACAATAGTATTATACTTTATTGGTTGAGTTTTGCATTTAAAATTTTATATTATTCGTTTGCTTGATGTTATTTAATATCTGAGAAGGTACTTCATACCCCAGAAACTATAATTAGCAAGCATTAATTAATTTATAGAAAATCTGTATCGACTCTAGACAACAGAAAGATTACTTTTTATAAGGCATAAAACACTAAATTTTATTATAATAATTAGACATTTATTAGGTAAAACCCTACACATAGTAATGAATTAGAATTTGTAGAGAGTATTCACTTCACCTAGAATTGTTAAGGTTTCTCACCAGAAATTCTTCCTTCAAAAAATCCTTTATCATCCATGCTACCTCGCTATGGAATTAACTATCTCTTTAAATAAAATCCTACCCTTAATCTTAGTTAAACATAAATTATTCATCTATCCCCACAACTATCAGTTTTCCACATAGTTGTTAGAATATACTTTTATTAGGTTAATTTTATTTTTCAATGTTATTATTTGTCATTGTGTATTGGTCCAAATAATCAGATATACTTATAAATATATACCAGTATATAAGTGTATATATGTAAGAGTGTATATAAATAACTTAAAAAATTTAATTCATTTACTTAAGCTAGTCTTTTATTTTATAATTTAACATAATAATTTTATAATTTAATCATCTCATAATTACTATCTGAAGCCAGATAATATCTGGTATTGTACATGTATATTATTCTAAGGATGTTAGGTGCCCCAAATTAAAATTTATTTTTTATCCATTTGAAAAACGGATATTTATATTAATTTCTTATAGGATTAGTCACCTGGGAAGATTAGACTATTACTCCCTTTTTGGGAAGACCTATGCGGACATGAAGTACAAAGGTGTATATATTATAAATAGCTCATAAATAGTAAAAATATTGAATTTTATTTGATTATATGTTTATGAGAAGGAGTTGGTTGGGAGAGGGGAGGGGAGGGGAGGGAGGTGCGGTCAAATGAATACTATATATCAAATAGTATTTTATTGTTCACGTTTCGACCCACTTTGTAGGTGTTCATCAGGGCGTGGTACCGGTGGTATTATGCCCGATACCACGCCCTGATGAAGATCAACAAAGTGAGTTGAAGCGTTGGCGTAACAATAAAATACTATTTTGATATATAGTAATCATTTGACTGCACCCCTCTGACCAACCCCTTTCTCATATTATCATCACAGCCAATCATCTGTACACTATTATGATTATATGTTTACATTGTATGAATGTATATTGCATCATAAAAGGCTATTATTATTATTATTATTATTTACCCATTAGAGCTATAACATCTCCTTCAAGGAAACTAAGCTGATTTTCTCCAGAAGACAAATAGGCATAAAGAGCCCTGGCTAGCGGCGTATCCCATGTACTGGTGTCGGGCACCGCCATTGATTTGGGTCTTCTTTCTGGTGTATTCATTTCTGAAACAGCATTATTAAATTAAGTAAATAACAGTGATTAAATAACTAAAAAAAAATGTTAGTTTAAAATATTTATAAAATACAAGAAAACTAAGGAAACAAAGATATAGGAGCCCAGAGTAAAGATAAATCTATATGGGTTAAATTCAGGATTGAATATTCATTCTTGGTGGATATAATAGAACTTCATTATCTGGCTAAGATAGGTTAGTACTCTGAAAAATAATCAAGAGCTCCAGTGCTCGTCGCTATATATATAATATAAGGTAATATAAGCATTAATAATGTAAGATAAATTAAAATATTTAACTACTGTATATAATGGCAATGTATGAGAATATATTAAAATATTATGATCTGTATTACATTTAAAAAAAAAGGTAACATAAAAGGATAATGGACTGAGTGATAAAACATGAAAATGTTCATTCCACTAGATCTAAGTGAGACCAGTATATTGACAACCACACTGCAAAAGCCTGTCAGTGAAAAAACTAAAATTATTCACTAGACAAAGTAAACCACACATTTGTCATTTAATGAATTAAATTTTTACTGAATGCTTAAGACAAGGATGTAAGGGTTCAAACAATTTTTTTAGTTTGTATTTTGGAATATATGCAAGGCCATGATTGGCTAGAAAAGCCAAAAACTGCAATTTATAATAAAATTGTTTTTAGATGCCTTTTGTAGTGTGGATATGGATATATAATTAGTGGAACAAATAATTAGACAGGTATATGTAAAAATAGTTAGATTAGTATTTGTAACTAGTATATACATATATATATATATATATCATAAAATTAATAAAGGGAGGAGATGATCCGGGGTGGCGGTCATAAATAGGCTAACTGGCAGCAAAACTATTTTATTAAAAGCCAACGTTTCGACCCAACTTTGCAGGTCTTCTTCAGGAAAGTGTGTTCAGCTAGGAATTTCACTTAGAACTCAACAAGGATTTTCACTTCAGTTCCAAGTGAAACTTCTAGCTGAACACACTTCCCTGAAGAAGACCTGCAAAGTCGGGTCAAAACGTTGGATTTAATATAATAGTTTTGCCACTATTTAGCCTATTTATAACCGCCACTCCGAACCATCTCCTTCCTTTATATTGCAACGGCCAACTATTAAATATTCAACATAAAATTAATTAATAATGAATGAAAAATATATAATAAATGAAGTTCATTGACCCAGAAAGTAATTGTAACAAAGTGATAAAGAAATTATTGCAACCTATGAAATAACAAAGAAATGAAATGGAATATTTAGTATAAATAAATCGGATGGGTAAGTAATAAAATGTGTTTAGAAGAAATAAATAAACATAGAATAATAATGAAAAATATAGACATGAAATGTTAAGTCATATTTGTACTGATTTGACAAGTACCATGAGTTAGAGAATTAGTAGACGAAGTAAGATTGAAGTCAGATTTAGCTCTGGCGAGAGGATGAAGTGAAGGCGGGCTTGACATGTCGCCCATAGCCCTCATGTCCAAGCAGGAAGCATCGACAGACTTGGTTTTCCTCAGCTGTGATGTCAGCGATACTCTGTCTTCATCAAGTTTCGGGGAGCCATCTTCGGCCCAGAAGCTCACCTGCTGCAATTGTAATCAGGCAAATTAATATTAAAAATATATAAATATTAAGTTTAACCATCAAGACAATTAGGTTTTAAGAAAGAACTTATATGACAATTGATTGTCAGATAGCAATTAATCAAAGAAAATAAACTGCTAAATTCGCTTCTTAAGATTTCTGCTTTACAAAAATTGACTTTTATATTACAAGTATATTACAGTTCTGAAACTTTCATTTAGCTGCATCAATTAAAATTAAAAAAATTATCAAGATTATGATTAAAGTAATAATATAATAGAACCTTTATTATATATATATATATATATATATATATACCAAATAAAATTTGTCTAGACATTATCTTAAATTTGATTACTTTTAGTTTTAATTGTACAATATAAATATAAAATTATGAATTTTTAAGGATGAACAATGGTCGGGATGTGTAATAAAACAATATTTATTGAGTTTCGCAAGTTAATTGCACATCATGACTAATTTTTTTCCTTATGAGTTCAACAGTCAACTATATATCAATTTATGAATATTTAAATGTCTATTCACGAAATCGACAATTTTGGCATAAATCTTAAATATTGAGGTTAAATATCAACTTAACTTTAAATTAAAATTATTTTTTTTTAGCCAATTCTTTTTTTTAAATATAATATATAATATCTGTGAACACTATTATAAATGTCCTTGAGACAGATTGTAATATTTTTCAATAAATAAGATTAAAAAAAAACCCATAATATATGTTGGCTAGTTCTTATACAATTATCTATTAAATGTTTTTTTCTCTTTGAAATTTTGAAATATGATACTTGTATACGATAATAAATTTTTTAAATAAAAAAATAAAAATACAATTATAAACAATTTTCACAGGATCAAATAATCATAATTAAGTATAATGTTTATTTATTAATAGAGATTGTTAAAAAAAAATCATTTTTTGTTAATGTGATGATAAATTTTTATACATATATTAATAATATTGTTATAATTGTTACAGATATTTATTCTAGACTTGAAAATGGATGAAGTGGCCCAAAACATTGTCGGATGCAAAAATGAGAAATAAGGGAAATCAAGTTTTGTAAAATATAAAGGGTTTGTGAAAGTTGTCCCTTGAAATAATAAAAGCATATCGTTAAATATCATTGTTGCGGTATCCGTGGTATACCCTTGCTACACACCAGGGTGCCCCATCACCTACTTTGAGAACTTCTAATCTGGAGTACTGGAAATATTATGAATATTTTATTTTTCTATCCCATATATAAAAAAGAAATCAGCATTGATATTAATTTCAAGAATCTCAAGGGTTATTAGCATTTGAAAAAAATTACAATCAATTGTATGCATTTTTTCTCTTATAAATTAAATATGACTAACTATATAGTGTATGGAGATTAGCTGTACCAGATTATTTTATTATTTAGTGATCAATGGTGGAGATTTATTGAGGAGACAAAGACCCAACCAAAGCAACCCATGGGTTGCAGCACCATCTAAGTAAGTATAGTGCTTATAACACAATTTATGCTATTTATAAATAAAAATTAAACTTACTGTCAATTTGTTAGCAAACATGTTCTCGACCGATTGAGGAAGCACTTCCCTGCTCTTGGCCACTTCTTGCCACTGGTCCAAGTGGGCCTGGTACAAAGAGTGGCCGGCGGTGTGGTAAGCTAGGTAGTGTTTGGCCAGGGAGCATTGTCTTTCCAGTACGAATCCGTATCTTCTCCTTTCCTGAGTCATTGCCTGGAAATAATAGAAGTTATTTAAACTGTAAAGAGATTAAAAAAAAAGAAAAAAAAGAATAATGCTTTAATTTACATAGATTGAAAAACTAAAATCAAATATATGCTAAATAAAAACTTCATTCTTTATAATTTATAAAAAAAAAAATTTAATACAAATGTAATTATTTTATAAACTATCTATTTATACATTGTCATTGATACAGTTTTTTTTTTCTTTTTAAATTCTCCTTTCTACTAAATCATAGGATTAAAAAAAAAATAAAAAAAAATTATACATATATATGTAAAGACAGGTAAGGAAATATGAAAGTTTTCATTAAAAATATTTAGTTTGATAGTATAATAAAATATCTTTGGAAGCAATCAAGAGGACATTGAGAGATTCCTAAGACTCTAATAAAAGAAGGAAAGCAAATTGGCCTATAAGTAAATTAAGATAAAACAAAATATATGATATTAAGTCCAAAACCTTTAAAAAAAAAAGGATGTGCGTAGAAAGAAAATCGTTCCTGAGAGTAGACAAATTCAAATACAACAAATCCACTATAACCTAAATGAATGAGCAACAGTCGGAAATATACTAGCATATAACAAGGTAAAGGTTTAAATGTATTGAAATTCCGAGAAATCTCAAACTTAGGGTGTACAATGCTATGATAAAGCCTCATATACTACTGAAAGACCTGGACTCTGACCAGCACCCTGGAAAGAAGTATTGAGAGATTTATGAGGAAATCCCTCCACACGATAACCAGAGCGATCTGGGACCATAGTATTAACACATGGAGGAGAAGGGCCGATAAAGAGCTGTTTACAGAAACTGGTAAATCTAAATCTCATGATATGAAGGTGGGGAGATTAAGATGGTTGGGACATGTAGCACAGAGCTACCAATCAGAAAGCATTGAATGTCTCAATAGCAAGCAAGAGACCACGTCAACAGCAACAAAATGACTGTACAGTAATTTGCAGATAACTGTAAAGCAAAAGTTGAAGATAGGTAGAGATGAAGAAGACTGATTGGTTAAGGGAGCAAACGTGTGCAAAGGCCACAGAAAGAAAACCAAGACAAAAAACTTTGATAATAATAAATAGTATTAATAATAAATATTTCAATATTTATTATAAGAATAATAAGAAATGAATAATTATAGGATTGAAGTACAAAATAACAAAAAATTGATGATTGAAGAGATTTAATAACCTCAAATAAAAGAAACCAGAAGGGGGTATAATGGCGCAAGTTGTGCCATCAAAATGTTTGAAGGAAGCATATTTTGGGTTCGTTTTCAATTTTTGAGGAAGTCACATTTTGGCAGGGTTATGAATTTTCGGAATAAAAAGTTTCATACCAATGGACAAGAGGAAAACACAGAACATACTCCACCAAGTGTTGTTGTATATGATCTACAATTTTTCTAATGCTACCTTCACTTGCTCTATTTTTAAGAAAAGGTAAGTAATAAAATATCTTGGGAGTGGGGGATAGGTTTTACTGCTAGCAAGCCTTGGGGGGAATGGACACCCTGAAAGAAATATTATAATTAATACAGTGAAGATGGATTTTTTTTCCTTATAATTATAAGTTCTGTAAAAGTATCTTCTCCCACAAACTGAATTATAGTAATAATTTAAAAAAGATTTTATAGGTAATAACTATATATTTTTAAATACATAATAAAAAAACAGAGAAATAGATTTTAAACTGTTCTAAATGGTTGTAAACCGTGTTAAGAGTCGGCTTAATAAAAGTACTAGGATGAGGTAAGCTATATACTTTACATTGCTGCAAGTGCCCATAAAGTGAGTTAAAAGTTTATGGTTGTACCTATCAAACTCAAGATTATCCTTTTATAACTTCTACGATCAAATCCAGACAAGTTATATCGTCAGCTGTTGTAAAGTAACTCAGAACATCACTATGCAATGTCTAACGGTTTACAGCTCATAATTTATATACTTACATTTTTAAGACTCTGTTCACAGAAAGCATCAAGTTTGTTCCTTTCCTCTTCAAGAATCTGCATACTCTGTAAAATGTAAAGAGGAAGTTATTATTGTGAGGTTATGTAACAAAGTAGATTATAAATATAAACATATACTTATAAAACACTATTTATAAGAAATTAATTAAGACATGACAATTAGAATGAAAGTGACATAAGAACAGTGTTTCGTGTAGTAACATTAAGTAATATGTAAACTGTTTTAAATATGTTTTAGCCATATAAAAAAAAAAATATTGATTTATAGCAAACTAGAGTCCAGAAAAAAAAAAAAAAAAAAAAAAAAAAAAAAAAAAAAAAAAAAAAAAAAAAAAAAAAAAATATATATATATATATATATATATATATATATATATATATATATATATATATATTAGGTATTTTATATGAGAAAAATTGGCATTTAATCCATGCCAAACTATTTCAATGAAAATAATACTTGCCTAATTTTAAATGCCACTTAATTTCACATTAATATAATGAATTCAATCAAAATCCTTGGGTCGGTTTTTGAAGAAATTGTAAATATGTGTAAAATCGATGATAATAAATGCCACTTCCTGTAAATCAATTTTAGCTAAAAAGTTGCGGTAACGTCTCACGCTTATTCATATATTAAATACGTAGTTTCAGTTTTGAGCCAGGCAGTTGGACTCAAGAGAACTCAAAACGCGCATTTCCGTTGAAAATCAGGATTTGAAAATATCACGACAGCAATACTTTCCCATATTATACATTTCATACATAAGGGGAGCGGGGAGGCTGCTCGTGTGAAAAATTCGCCTGATAAACCGAAGATTACGAGTTCAAATCCCGGTGCGGGGGTGAGAGAGGGAAGCTTTTAATCCTAGCATTAATCCTCAGTCCTGTACCTTGTCATGAAAAAAAACAACAACGTATGGACGAAAAGGGAATGTAGGGGAGAAAAAAAAATATAAATATAAGTGAAATTAATAGGTCCAATAGTTTTCTCAAAAAAATCGTTTTAGCTTTTAGCTGGTTGATTGAACAAGTTTAATGCAGTTATTTATTTTGACCCTCGCCGTAAACCTATGATTTTCTGTCCTACAGTATCCTTTAATAACCTCCCACTTATCCCTGTTGACCAAATACGATATCTTGGACTTGGACAAAGGTCTCACTTGGCCGAAAGACAAGACTGAAACGACAAGAAACTGCTCGGCGTTTCCGCTTACTACAACACTTACTAAACAAACGCTCTAAACTTTCTATTAATTACAAAATACTAATATACATGACTATAATAAGACCTATATGGACTTACGGAGTTGAGCTATGGGGCTCCACTAAGCCATCAAATTCCTCTCGTATCCAACCCTTCGTAAAATCCTCAATGCTCCCTACTTAGTCACAAATAAAATAATCCATAATGACCTTAATGTTCCATATGCTTCCGATTTGGCCCAATCCAGATACCTATCCTTCATAATAAACTTCATAACCATCCGAATCCTCTCGTTCCTAACCTTGCTTCCTCTTCGATTCCTGATAACCCCCTGAGGCGCCTGAAAAGAAGATGGCCTAGTGATCTCCTTAAGTAGAGATATTATTAGAGTGCTACCAATGGGTAGTTTCTCAACAAGCGTTTTCAAGTGATTATATTCTTGTGTACACATTTACTTGATGTATTTATATTGTAATACAGTTGTAAATATCTTGAATAAATAGTTAGTTATTTTTATTATTATCAAATTGTTTCAAAACACTCATGGAATGTTACTGAATAATTTATGTAATCGACTTAAAATATGTTCATCCGTTCTCTCAAAAAATCATACTTACCTACCAGGTGGCCAAGATTTTTTATTTTAATGAAATTTACAACTGTATTACATAGAAAATACAATAAGTAAATGTGACATTGGTAACATGACATGTACAACATGAAGAGAAACTACCCATTGGTAGAACTAAAATTAAAGTTCTATATTAGAAGGTCCCGAGGCCATCTTCTTTTCAGACGCCTCGGAGGGTTATCAGGGATCGAGGAGGAAGCAAGGTTTGAAACGAGAGGATTCGGATGGTTCTGCAGTTTGTTATGGAAGGATAGGTATCTGGATTGGGCCAAATCGGAAACATATGGAACATTAAGGTCTTTATGGATGATTTTATTTGTGACAAAGTAAGGAGCGTTGAGGATTTTACGAAGGATTTTTGATTGTAAGGATTGGATGCGAGAGGAATTCGATGGCTTAGTGAAGCCCCATAGCTCAACTTCGTAAGTCCAAATAGGTCTTATTATTGTCATATATATATATATGAGTCGTATGTAATTGATTGAACGCTTAGAGCGTTTGTCTAGTAAGTGTTGCAGTAGTAGAAAACGTCGGGCGGTTTTTAGTCGTTTCAGTCTGGTATGGGGGTAAGGCCAAGATAAATACATAAATCTATCTGTGCCTTCCCTGTAGTAAACAACTTTTTAAATCTTTATAAGAAAAGGTTTCGCAAATACATCAAGGCAATCAGCTCCTCAAGTCGCCATTCACTGAGGATTCAATTTATAAACTACCTCGAAAAGAAGAAGTTCTATTGAATACAAAACATTAAATAAAGGAAAATATATAACGAACGAACTTAGAGAGAGCACGGCATAACAGACCCGAGACGGTGGGGTTGATCTTGATGAAAAGGGGGAAAAGAAACCTTTTCCGAGAGCGGCTGAAAAGGAAGAGGACCCGCTGATGCGACTTTCTTTCATAACACCAAGACGGCATCTTTTCAATCTGCTCCTCCAAAGGACCTCCATCTTGTTATCTTGTCTAAGCCCCGGAGGAGGAAGAAGGGGAGGAAATACTACTCTTCGAAGAATACCATGAATTCGAGATATTATTATGATTTGTAAGGACCTGTAATCACCTAAAGGAAGATGTCTTCATTTACCGCCAACTGCCTTTGAAGCAACGGATAAACTCAGCCTATCGTATTTCATCGGTAGCAGGAATCGATTACAAAATCACGGGGTAGAATTAGAGTGATTTTATTAATTTATGAATAATTGAAAATTTTAACTCCTAATAAAAACATCTGATGTGTCCACTCACACGACTTTCCTACCAAATTTAACATTTTTTTTATATCTTTACATAAGTTCATGAACACAATAAAAATTGAACTAGATTTATTTTCCTAGAAATTGATCAAAGAGAAGGTTTGAGTACGATTTATTTGATAAATTAAAGCAATGTAAACCGGCTTAAGGTAGATCAGCATAAAAATTTCAATACCCTCTAATATTGCTGATCAAAAACTTTTGAACCATAGCTTAGTATTGTCAAACAATAATTTCTGTTAAAAGTAGAGGAAATAGTGAAGCTTGTGTGATGCGGGCAACAGATTTCCTTACTTTCACTTAATCATCTTTTTTCTCTCATTCACCCCTTTCTGACACCAGGAAATGAACCGGTAATCTTACATTGGAAATTGAATAGAACTAATTAACTTCGTAATTAGTTGCCCTAGACAAACGATTTTTATATAGTTTTGTAGGGTAAAAAAACTTGGAAAACGACGCTTTTTTTTCGGGCTCAGCATTTTTCTTTCCTTTGTAACTTTTTTTTCCTATTTTTTCTCGGGAGTTTAGTCCATATACGAAAATTGAAAGGAAAAATATGAGAACATTATAGGAAAGTTTCATCAAAAACCTACTAAATAAAAAGATCCGTCGAAAACCGCATATCGGAAATTTGACGTGATTGTAATATTTTCCTTACCTAGTATAGGTAGGAAAGTAAAAACAAAACACGGTATGTGCTTTAGACCACACGATATAAGTGAAAACACCAAGGCGAGGTTAATAATATGAAATATAAATTTGTTTTTGTATTATATTCACAAAGTATAACATTATGATTATGATGAATAATGTATACAATTATAGTCGTGTATAAACTTTTTTTTCCTATATTAAATTTTTTTTTTCTTACGCCTGTTCACTTCAACTTTTAAGCCCTGGGGCTGTTATAGTCGACAGTAGTGATCGTTTCTCGGGTCTCTCTTCTTCAAGATATCCAGGAAGCACGTGGTTTACTAACCGCAATTCACTCCCTCTTCATCAGGAACTTTCCTAAAGGATGGTTGGCAATCTTTTGCTTCAATCATCCACCCAGTTTTTTACGGGATAGAGGATTATCAGGCCTATACCCAACCCTCGACCTGGAGGATCAGGAGTCTTGGAGGCGTAAGACATAGAAGTCGCGTACCTCCCTATGAATCTCAGGGTGGAGACGTTACCGTCACCTTGCGGGAATCGAACTTGGGCTGTAGTGGTCTAAGTAGTCGAGTTATTAGTTATTTTTATTTTTTCATTCCATTTCATGTCCACAAATTAATAACATTTACAATATATAAAATTATAATTGTTTTTAAAAAAGTACTGTGGTAAACTTATCTTTGATTGGTCGGCATTTGTATCATAATATAAAAATGATAAAATAGGTTTACGATAACTAAAATAGGTAATGAATACGTTTGATTGAAATCTATTTGTTAAATTTCTAACAAAAACGCCGTCATTTTTTTTTTTTTTATATCACTATTGTAACGGCGGTCAGTTATTTTTTGGAACTATATCGAATGCAACAGAAAATCAAATAGAAACACATAATTTCTTATTTTTATGGCTAATTAAAAAAAAATATCTATATTGACTTCCGAAAATTGGTTTCTTAATACTCCATGATATATAAATCGTGAGATGTTTTAGTTAAATGCTCAGTTGTTATTATTTGATTTTTTTTTTTGGCATATTTTTACCTTTTCGACTTTCTAAATCCGCGTCACGTCAAAATAATAGCTCATTACAAATAGGATGAACTGCTGAACATTTTATTGAACATATGGATTAAAATATCTCAAAAAATAAAAATCGAACCTGCATACTGTAATCGAGGGATTGTTCAGCAATTCATCCTCTCTGTAATGTGATATTATTCGAAATTGTATCTTAACGCAACGCCGTGATAGAGGGCGAAGAGTGAAGTGATAACTAGTTTTAGTGAAGATATGGTTTAAAATATCTCAGAAACTAAAAATCGGACCTGCATACTGTAAATGAGAAAAATGTTCAGAATTTCATCCTCCTTATAATGAGCAATTATTTTTCACTTCTATCTTGTGGCCTAAAGCACACACCTTAGTTTTTTAAAATATATTTTTATTTTATTCTAAAGTTCTGTGGATTTTGCTAAAAATTACTTTTATTCATATTTACTCAAACAAACGACACATTACGATCATGTGTAACTAATCTAATCCTAATGACTGTTTATTTTTCATCTAACGGAACTTTTTTTAAGAACTTGAATAGATAAAAGTTAAACTTTTACCATAAATCAAATCCAATATTTTTAAACAGAAAAGAACATTAGAAAAAATTAATTACAAACATTATCAACATCGTGGGTATCAATGAATCTTCCTCGAATTTCAACTCTTTTCTTTTTTTTTTTTGCTTAATGAAAAAAATCCCTACTTCCAAAATTACAGATATTCTTTATAAAAAATGTATTGGATACATTTCTGTGGATAAAGCTAATCGCGCACTAGGTCCCAACATTCTTTACCCGACTCCGCAAACAAAAAATTGATTTACGCTGCCCTCGAAGGAAATCTCTAAATCAATCTCCTCCTGTTTTCGCATTTTCGGAAAATAAATTGTGTTTTCCATCGAAGGAGGAAAACCCCATCTCCACTCCATCGGCTTGTCGTTTTTATGTTTTATCCCAGCCTGCGTTATTTATCCAACAGTCTTCAAATATGACTTATAAGATTTGATATATTTTTCCTATTATTTATTGCCATCGAAATTGGCTGACTAGTCCCAAGTGTTATTTAATAAAATTTAAAAATACTGACATATTTAGGTAATTATGTAACATGCAAGTGGTTTTAAAATAGGAACTCCTAAGTACTAAACTATAACTGAAATCATGAGTACCAAGTTTCCATTTTTATTTGGTATGGTAATGGAGAAAAAAAAAAAAGTGATGGTGACAGTTTATATTATGTGTAAATAAAAATGAAGTAAAATAATTAATGTACAAAATCAACATAATTACTGTACAACGAACAATATAATAGTGAATATTAAAAAATAAATGTATCAAAGTTTTACAGTCTGACGAGCTATTGTAAAAACGTCTCTAAAATATATATTTATACATCAACAATAAAGGTATGACATCCAAAATTATGGTGGGTAAGTCTTTAAGATACAAAAAACCAGATTGACTACTTGCTTGTGTACAAGAAATATCCATCCATAAGAATTTATCTTTAGGACGACTGTAATTCAGGGCGATCTCTTCTTCCCTAATAAAAATGGAGAGGAAGATAGAATATTGGAGAATCAAGAGTTCATCCCACTAGCCAACAATTTAAATAAAAATAAAATATGTAATATATTCCATTACTTTGTCAACTTCTAGTTCGTTTTTAAAATAATTATGTTAAGTATCATTCATAATTTTTATACGTAATATAAAATCCTAAGATTTTTTTGGGGGAGTTCATCGCCTTCCCTCAACCAGAATGGAAAGTCTGTGCCTATGCCCGAGATGTAATGAATATCCTATTTTTGTACGGGTAAATAAATAACAAATATTTAGCTAAATTAAATCCAATACACAAACCTTGAGTTCCTTGTCCATTGCGATTCCTGTTTTGGAAGCATTCCTCTGCTTCTTTCTCTGTTTCTTCATCGTAGCTGCCGCTTTGCTGTAAGTTTCTGACCTTTGTTTATGCTGCTGCAAAAATCTTTTCTGCTCCGACTGAAACAAAACCATTAAATAAAAATTAATGAACGACCAAATTTCAACAAAAAAGTCATCTCGAATATGTTCATCTCGATTCGTCAATTTTTTAAACCATCTGAGTTTTGAAACATTCCAATTTTTCCAAAACTTTTACTGTAGTTTCAGTTTACTCGTGAATGCTGCATGCAATTTCCTTTCGTTTGATACCTCCTTCATCAAAATCTATCATTCCTGAGAGCCCAAAAATAAATCTATTAAATACAGAGTGTTCCGTAAGTTGAAGTGAAATGATAATAGTAATGATTGTAGACCTCAAGAGCTACAAAAAAGTTTATATAAATAATGGAGCGATTTTCTGCAGAAAAGTAGGAAATTTTAGATTTGTGACACGCAAAAGTAGAGTTTGTCTCATTGTTAAAAACATTTAACTCTTGAGCCGCTAAACTAATATAAATGTTTTTAGTTTTTTAAATCATAAATTATTCGTGATTTTTATTATCATCTTCCAACAATACGGTATCTGTTGTCATACCCCGCTTTTAAAAAACATCCTCGTTTAATAAGCTTTAACTCCATATTGATGTTTTTTATATCTTGTTACAAAAAAAAAAAAAAAAATAGCCGTGTTCCCAGCAAAAATGACTACCATATATTATCGCTAAGCGTTTATTTCATATTTTTCCATGACCTGGGATGTATCATAATAAACATAATTGCCTAAATACACTTTTTATTTGTAAATTTTGTCTAGTCACTGATGAGCAATTGTTAATTATTTAAATTAAATATTTGTTTAATAATCGCAAGCTATCCAACAAAAAACCTACTAAAAAAAAACTGAGATTTCCTACTTTTCTATCGAAAATTGGTCCATTATTTATATAAACTTTTTTTAGTTCTCTTGGTCTGTTATCACTCCTATAAATATTTTCCTAATACTAGGGGACAACCTGTATATTATAGATATACAGTAAAATATTTAAAAAAACGAATGGAAAAGAAATGGACGAAATTAGAGAAGACTCGTCAAGTCACACTTCTCTCTGAAATGTTAGTGTTCAGAGTACTAACGGATCCACGATTTAATTTTGGGAGAGGGCTTCAGCCCGAAAGATTTTTATTTTTGTATGTATATATTAGGGCAATTACTTTGGAGGAAAGAAAGAAACTAGCTTCCTACATCTATAATATAATTTAACTGATTCTTTAAGTCCTATTAAATGTAATTATACGAAAAATAATACTTTTAGAGATAATTTTTTTTTTTTTAAACATGGTTATATTTTATAATTTTGGGGGGAGGGCAAGAGGGAGGCTTCAAATCGAAAGCTTCCTCCTCCCGTTGATCCGCCTGTCGTTCACTGAAACATCGTAATTTCTATTTTGATAATTATGTCAATACGATTGATAAAAAAAAGGTTAGCGATAAATTATTGAAGTCATTTTTGATGTGTTTTAGGCGACTGGATATAAAATCACGTCAATTGTTTTTTTACATAACTTAAGACGAATATCAACTTTTCACTAATAAACCTTAACTTAATTAATATGGAGTTCAAGCTTATTAAACGAGACAGTTTGTTTAAAGAGTGGTATATATGTAGTATCGTTGGATAATGAAAAAAAAAAAATCAATTTATGATTTTTAAAAAAACACAACTTAGCTCAGTTTATCCGCTCAAAAGTGATCTTTGAATGGTTTTAACATTAACAAAATTTACTTTCGTTTGATGTTAATTTTGTCTAGTTTACCGTGATGCAGTTGTTAATTACCTAAATGAAATATTTTTTATAGTTAGCACTTCCCATTTAACAAAAAAATGACACTAAAAAAACATGAAGCTTAAATTTCCTGTTTTTCTTCCGGAAATCGGACCACTGTTTATATAAACTTTTTTATAGCTCTTGAGATCGTTTTTTTTTTTTTTGAGGTCTGCTATCCCCGCTATAAACGTTTCTATCTACTCACGAAACACGCTGTGTATTGTCGATATTGAATATGTTCTAAAATATTGAAAAACGCAAGTCCCCTTCTCTCAGAAATGTTAGCATTGTTCAATGAAATACTGTAATTCCTGTTTTGATAATTATGCCAATCTCAGTAGACATGATATTCTATTCAACCGTCTGATTGTTGACGATCTATCTGCATACGTCAGCGGTCACACCGAGATATCTTCGTCCCCCTTCCTCCATCTTGCTATCAGCTAATGGCATTAACGGGGATACTGCCTTTATCAATGAATATTCATTGAGGCGGGAGGACCGACTTGGAGCCCCGGAGCACTCGGGGATATTGAATGAGGATGAGGTTAACTGCCGTAGGAACCTCTTTGCCTCGCTGCCCTACCTCTTTGGAATCTGGCGATTCTATGAAATATCAAGGAGCTCTAGGCACTCCCTCGTATATAGCTCCCTTTATGGCCTCTCCATCGGAGTAGGAATGGCCAAAATATTCCATCAGAGATTTCTCAGATTCCCTCCATAGAGACATCAAGCCTCAGCAGTAATGGGGGTTGCCAAATATTTTATCAGAAGCGAGTTTTATTGTTTCTCAGGCTTTACATTATGCAGTGATTTCTTACTTAGAATCTGGTATATTCAATCAACAAATACAATTATTTCAATAGGTTATTACTTTGCCTTTTTAAGGCACTTTTTATTACCTGTTTATTAAAATTAACAACTGTAAAAGAATATACAATAAGTAATGATGAATGATACCTAATAATGACGGAGAAATAGCTGACCGTAGAAAATATGGTTGGAAAATCAGCTGGCGGTAGCAGTCATAGAGAAAATACGCTTCGGCCTAAGTTTCAGGCCTTGGTACTTTGTCCTAGAGCTGTTGTTTTGAGTCATTTAGGTTAGAAAACAACTAAACGAGTAGCCCTGATGAAGGCCTGAATTCAGACCAAAATGTTGGTATAAAATAAAAATCAAGAGTGTACAGACCATGAAGATCTTGGGGGTCAATTTGGCCTTCCCACCGCCTCACTCGGGTTGAAGGACAGTGACAGATTGGTCTAGATTCATGGATTATGTCTGCATAGACTCAACAGGCGCACGAAGACCTATATTTCTTTCCCAATAACAGACCGTCCATGGACTAAACCTCGGGGGGTACTGACATCCTGGTAGAACACATCCCGATTCCCGATTTAAGTACACGGGTTAGGGTGATCAGTCCTAAGCCCATTCGGTGTTAGTTACCTCCAGTAGTCTGACGGGTCTCACATACCGGCGAGGGGAGAGAGAAATCTCGGGCAGCGTACATGTATGTACATATATTTATATATATATATATATATATATTATATATATATATATATATATATATATATATACTATATATATATATATATATATATATATATATATATATATATACTATATATATATATATATATATATATATATATATATATATATATATATATATATATATATATCCTTTTTTCTATATACTATATATATATATATATTTATATAATTTAAAACCAACTATTCCTGCACCATTATTAATGTATATATACGGTACCAACGACACGATGACAACCTCCGAGTTTGAACACTTACGAATAAGCAGCCCTGATCCTTTTTTGTAGAACTTCAATGAATATTTTATATTATGATATGCATCGTCTTTTCATGGCGAAGAAGGGTGACAAAATGTGAGTGTTATCGGAAATAGATTGGGATGAAAGGTTAAGAACTAGCTTGTGTGAGTAAGGGGATTGTAATTTAAGAAGTTATATCTATATCGGGTTAAATAGCCAAAACAAGTTTGACATTGAGTTTCTCATTTTTGAAACAAAAAAGATCGTTAAGAATTTAGCATTAAGGAAATTGATGGATACATGAGGATTTTGATGGTTTTGTGAAGTCCCGAAACTCAATTTCGTAATTCAAGGAACAGTGTAATTAAAATATTTGAAAAGTAGTATCTTTCACCTTTTTTAATATGCACGGTCCTTTTTTCTATTAAAATAGTAGAAGAAATTTGCATAATATTTTCGTTTCCTATCCTTTATCCCCACATATATTATTACAGTAAGGCTCGAAATCGGTTTTGTACCAAATATAAGCTCCTGTCATGCTCAAATACCATGAATGGGATACCGTTGGATTCAGCATTTCACGGTGGGTTAGCGAATCGTATTCTCCACTTTTGTTTTTCTTTCTAAAATAAATAAAGTCGATACAAACATTTTGCTAGGCGTCAATACTGGAACGGTGGTAGGTCTGTAGATCGATGCCGGACAGATTGGACCTTGAAGATTTTGATGCGTACAGCAAGACCCGGTTAGTTCCTCCGGATCCTGCGTTTTTAAGCCCAAAAACGTACTCATTTCGAGATAACGCAAGGCATGGGGTTCGCATCCACACAACCTGACGTTAATTGTAGTACTATCATTGAATACATGTCTCATTTCGTCGTCTTGAGGTCTCTATGATCGAGACAGGAGGAGTTTATATTATTTATCGATGGTGTTTTTCCATCAAGCCATATCATCGTTAATTCTTCACCAAATCTCAAGATTGAGCCACCAATTTTGAAGGCTTCTTTCTCCTTCAGGCGGTCAAAATAGTCCAATCACCCCGAAAATTTAGGCAAACAAGTTATGAAAGAAAAGAAACTTTATTTGCGAATAACTAAAAAATTACACATTTTTCCCTGGGTTAGTCCCATGATTATATAAAACATTACTAAATTGTCTACAAAAGGAAAAAAAAAATCATCGAAATCGGACAATTTTTCGCAATGATACAGCTTATTGAAATATGTAACTATGTTGGTTCCAAACAAAAATGAAGATTTAAATTAATTTTGTTTCTTTTGTCGATTATATTTAACGATAAAGTAACAATTGATTCCTTCATCTTTTGATACGTTGCATTATTTTATTTTCTTATTAATTTGGGATTAGATAATAATATACTGTGCGAATTTTTCGCCCGGGCCTGCTAGTTTTTAATATAATTTCGTTTGTTTTACATTTTAAAGTTTAATTTCAGCGATCTATAAATAATATTTTTTTTAAATGAACTATTGGCAGGGTGCTTAAGGGATCATATTGGCATGACATTACAAAAAAATCCTTTAAACGGATCATTAATATTTATCCAAATCCTTCTCTATCCAATTCCCATAATGCTTAAAGGATCTTCATTAGTAATATACATTTATATAGTAATTATAAATATATAATATAAAAGAAAAAGCTCTAATAACTAGGCTGAGTATTGGTAACAGTATCGGTTGCGCAGTGTACCCTTCCAGAGTGTGCCGCCTCCAGATGATGTTTGCTGGAAGAGAGGCCGAACAGGGGGGCTACCTAGGGAACCTAAACAAACAGGAGGCAGCTGCCGGTGAAACAATAATGTCACTGCAACAACACGGCCAGGGGCCGATAGTTGTCTCAGCCAACAACAATTCCATGTTTCAGGTCAACAACACATCTCTCTTTTTCTCCATTTTTTTTTTTTGCCTATACAGGAAACCTTGCAGGTCTTTTGACAAACGTTTAGAAAATTTCTCAACTCTTTGTCATCATTTCAATATAATCTGTGATATAGACCATTTTTTGTCAAATCATTAACATCCACCTGAAACTTCGTATCCACCATCTCAACGTCACCTACTTTACTTACGAAAATCCTCGGAATTGGGGGGTTTTCAATCTGGAAGTCGGCAAACTTTGTATATTTAATTTTATTTATATTTTTTATTAGTTTATTTAGAAATATAATAATCTGTCTCGAGGACAATGATTATAGTGATATATGAACACATTCGTACCATGTATACAGAAAATAAACACAATTAAAATAATAACTAAAAAATAATCAAAAACTATGTACAATGAAAAATAAAATAACCTAAAGACAAGTAAATTAAAAACATATAAATACAGTCACACCTATATATTTACTACCTATATACAGACTCTTTTATATCAAATTATTAACATCCGCCTGAAACTTCTTAAATGGCTTCATTTCATCGTAACCTACAAATATTTTATTTACGAAAATTCTGGGCATCTCGGGGCGTTTTCAATGTGGAGGTCGGCAAAGGTTGTCTCTTTAATTAGATACTAAAAACTCGTAAATACCCATTTGCTTTCTACTTGGATCGTAAGATAATTTGAACACAAATTCGGAAAAAAAGGTGGCCTTCAAAAATATTGAACTGTTTGGGGTGACCTAGTCTCCCAAATTATCAAAACAACGAGGTTATATAGCCCAAACGACACAATATTTTTATAGACCACCTTTTTATCAATTTTTTTATAAAATTATCTTACCATCCAAGTGGATATTTACGAGTTTTTAGTACCTAATTAAATATACAAAGGTTGCCGACCTACAGATTGAAAGCGCGCCAATTCCGGAAATTTTCGTAAATAAAATATTTCTACGTTATGATGAAATGAAGCTATTTAAGAAGTTCCAGGCGGATGTTAATAATTTGATATAAAAGAGTTTGTATTACGGATTAATATTTTCACACAAACAGAAAAATTCTTACTACTTACCTAGCATAGGTAGGAGAGTAATAAGTTAAAAAATGTGTAAAAAATACAATAAGCTGTATCATCGCTAATACTGGTTCGATTTTTTTTTTGTTTTGTTAGCAATTTAATTACCTTTCAAAGGTTTTATTACAAATTTTACCGAATAATATATACTTAGGGAGTTAGGCCCCACAACATTTTTCTTTTCTTTATAACCTTTTTTCCTGAATTTTTTCGGGAATGTAGTCTATTGAAAGGACAAAGTAAAATTGAACTTTTTTCAAAAACGTCTTTTTTTTTAAAAAAAGGAGTAGAAGTAAGTATAAATTTAAGATCGTAATTATATTTAAAAAAAAAAAACGGGAGTAGACATTTGTGTAAATTAATTGTTGTGAGGGGCCCAGTGCCGACAGAGGGGTAGAGCCCCACTAGGCTGTAAATCTCGGCAGCAATGACATTTAGTAAAATGTTAGGATTAGATTAGAAGGCGCGATAAAGGGGAGGGGGCGCTGGGAAATTGAAAATTAGCTGGGCCCTCCCAACCGGTGGTGGAGGATCTCGCCTCAGGCATCAGGGTCCCGGGTCCTCTTTCTTATCTCGGCTCTAGATTAGATTTATCTGGGAGGCTATTTCCTAAGATACAATCGCTGGTCTGACCGTTTAGTTTCATATATTGCAGAAATAATATGTCAGTCGATCAAGTAATAAATTTTATCTCCTGAATGTCTTGCTACAAAATGAGTTAAAAATAAAAATAATAAAAAAAATTAATTGTATTTTAATTATAACCAAATTTGTATTAGTTTCATATCATATATACTTAAAAATACTTAAAAAAATAAAACGATTAAAATAAAAAAATATTTGAATTACTACAGAAATATAATTGTAATTTTGTAGATAGGAGAAACCTAACTAAGGCCGAATTTAGAATTAGAAGAATTAAATGCAAAAGTATATTGATTATACCAATTCTTTACAGATAGTAACTAAAGTTGCCAAGTATTAGTAACTATTTTGCCTTAACTTTTATTAAAAAAAAAAGATTTTTTTTATCAGTCTTGGTCTTGGTCTTGCAGCAGTTATGCGATCTTGGTCTTGGTATTGTAAAGTGGAAGAGCAAGACCGATTTTGGAGGCCATGTCCTACAACATGACCTTAGTATCCCATTTTTCCTAGCCATATCCCAGAAAATTTCTTCAGAACCTTACATATCATCCAAGTTCCTTTGCACAATCCATGTCTAGGTCTACCCATCTCTACAATCCTCTTTGAAGATTGAAGCGCTAGTGGCCCCGAGACCTTTTGTAAATAACAATATATTGAAGTTCCGGCAATAGCCAGATACTCAAACCATGTACGTCTGTGGTTGTAGTGCCTTTGCACAGCCTCAACTGGTTATTAATACCATAAATGAATATTTGTAAATATTATATATAAGAATGCCCGTATTTAATTTGTTATTGTGAATAATTTAAGTTTCATTTTTGTTTATATATGTACGATTATATATTTATATTTAGTATTATTATTTGAAGTGCGGAATCTACAAACTCCGTATTATTAAACGGCTCGACGTTTTCGACTACTCCAGCACTTACTAGACAAACGCTCTAAACCTCTAATTATTAACAAAAGACTCATATATATTACTATGATAAGGCCTATTTGGACTTACGAGATCGAGCTTTGGACTCTACTAAACCATCAAATTTCTCTCATATCCAATCCTTACAATCCAAAATCCTTCGTAAAATCCTCAATGATCCCAACTTCGTAACAAATGACCTTAATGTATTATATGTTTTCTATTTAGTTCAATCCAGATACCTATCCTTCCATAATAAACTTCTAAACCATCCGAGCCCTCTCATTTCTAACCTTGCTTCCTCATGTATTTCTGATAACCCTCAGAGGCGTATGTGAAGAAGATGGCCTCGGAACCTTCTAATACAAAACTATAATTGGAGTGCTACCAATGGGTAGTTTCTTTTCATGTTAGAGATGTCATGTTACTAATTTCAAATTTACTAATTGTATTTTTCACGTAATATAGTTGTAAATTTCAATAAATATGTTTTTAAAAAATATTATTATTTTTCTGTTATTCCATAAATCTTATCACTATTACTAGTGTCATTAATCTTGAAAACATGAAAAAAATTCAATAATGAAATTTAAAAAAAAAATAACTCACTTGAACGACTTTGGTGTCTTTTTCCAGATTGGTTTCCAAAGGCACAAGAAGATCCACGTAAAAGGCCTTCAGCTGAAACAGAAATAAACAGTATCGTATTAATCCTCGCCTCCGCAAAGCAATCGAAAGGAAGAAGGGAATAAATAAAAGGAGAAGAGGCTGATGAAGTTTTGTTTTTAATTAAATGAAAAGAAAGGTCGCCTGCTCTTTGAACAGCGTCCCTGAATTACACCAGTTCTATCTCAGCTGTTGCAATAAAGTTCCCTTTTAGTGTTTCCTCTTTCTTCATTTCGCCGTTTACTGTTTTATTGGAGGCGACTGAAGAAGTAGTGATATAAATAGACTGTAGTCGTTCTTTTTCGAATAAAGTCTCACAGTAACTATAAACTACAATCCTAATGCTTACTACTTGCTGCCTAAGCAAGAATTAAGTCTATTTATTTATAAACCTAACTATACAATCTAAACCTCAAATCATGACTACATCTTTAATTTTAATCTTATGATTTATTTGCATATCAATTTGTCACAATTTTTTTACTGTGTATATATTTAGTGTATATTTTTTTACTTTATTTATTGAAATGTAAAACTGAATTAAAAAATTAAAAATATATCAAGTATATGTGATGATTCTATGGATTTTTTCTCTTAGGGAACTTTCCAAGTTACAGGGCCATTTATAGTAATTTGTCTCAGTTTTTGGCAACTTTGGTAAAAATCAGCGTTGGTTTTACCGTGGTTTTATAATCTTACCACGTAACCAAATTATGAAGTTTACGTACTTGTTCGACGAAAGATTTAACGTTCTGTAATTTCATAAACAGTACCTTTTTCGCTTCGATGTATCGTTTAGGAGTTATCGGTGAAAAAAATATCGAAAAAATCAGACTATTTTCGCTGTAGAAATTTTTCCCTTGGTGGCCCGCGTTAGCAATTTAGTTTTTTGTAGTTTGAATCCAAATACACAAGTTTAAAAAATAACTTTTCCCTCATTTTTTACAACATATTTCCAGTTTCAATCCTCAAGTTACTGGCCTAATATTCTTTAAATCAACCACCATTTTTGAAAGTAGCGTCTCTGGAATGGCAGACAAGGTTCTTTTTACTCAGAATAACATAAACTTTCGTAATTTTACAACCAAACCGTCGTGTGCGATCAAGTTGATTTTTAGGCCCTGGCTCTAGGCTTAAAATGTATTTGTCGTGGATGAACATTTTACTGTTGGGATGTTTAAATTGTTATGTATAGTGTTATTTGAAATGTACCAAGGTGCGTTGACATTGTGTTTGTATATTATTTATGTGTGTTTGTTTTGCCGAATCCCAAATTTCTGCTACTGATGTCCAAATTGGTCTCAGTATAGTGTTGTAGATCAGTCGCTTGTTTCTTAAGTTAAGTGAGGATCTGTAGTCCAGAAGAAGTGAGAGTTGACTATATCGTCTAGTCAGTTTATGCATTTTTAATTTAGTATGTATGTTCCAGGTAAGTCTTTTGTCTAAGTCGAGCCCGGGGTGTCATACATAATTTTTTGAAGGCACTGGGTTATTGTCAATCGTTATGGATGGACATGAGGCATTAAGGAAAATTTTCTTAAAAATTTTGTTTTATTTTTTAGGTCAACATATTTATTTTACGTTTTGTTTTATTTATTTTTTCATAATTAGGAAAATTTAAACTATATTTTATAACCATCATCGTGTTATTTATAACTGTTATAAGAGATATCTTATATTTCATTAAATTGATACATGCTTAATACATGGAGCATGTACAAATTAACAGATACAAGGCTCATAGAACAAGGCTAATGTATGAGAGAAGGTTGACTCTCAAATATTTGTATGAATAAAATTAATACTTTTTCATTATTATCAACAACATAAAATAATTAAAAATCTAGGAAAAATAAATGAGTGGCAGTCACTTGTACGAGTAGAAGAAGGTTGAGGACTCCTGGCATATTTTGAATATGATTTATAAACAAATGCTTTGGATTAAAATATAAAAAGGACACAAAGAGACGAGACGGACGAAGAATGGAAGGAAGAAGAAGAACAGAGGGTAAGAGAAGATTTATAGCTGGCTCTAGGCATCATTGTTCGCTCCCTTTATCGCCGGTCGACAAATGAACCAGGATCGTCAGCCGCTCACTAGAAGAACCGAGTGAGTCTTTTGTAAGGAGATGGGGGAGGGGGTAATTAACATGGAACTCTCTTCTTTGTTATGCCCAACCAAGGATAACGGAGTATTTGTTTATTTATTTCTAAAATAATAAATAATTTTTACAAAGGATTTCACAGGTCTGTCTGAAATTTTCTTACTGATAAGTAGAGGGAGATATATTAAAATTATATTCTATTAGATTTTTAATATTCGTTTTTAACTTTACGAGATCCTTTCGTGAGAGTAGCCCTGATGAAGGCCTGAACTTTGGGCCGAAACGTCGGCAAAAATAGAAATATATATCATATTTTTTTTACTTTGTATTTTTTACTGAAATCCCCAACCATCTTACCTTCAAATTTCATTATAGTCAACCATCAATCCACTATTATGAGTTCATAATTTTTTTTTTCAATTGGCATTACACATGTTTTTGTTCTTTTATCGACTTAACAAGCCTTTCTTGGGTTACATCTTTCCAATTATCGGCATGCAGCTGTATTGCATCTTTGTTAATTCGATCTATCCATCTGGTTTTTTTTTTACTTCCACGTGGTCTTTTGCCTATTATTGAGGCATTATTTGTCGTGAAGAAGCTACAAGATGGATTGCTCCGTGCGACACAACCCGCCTATCTTATCCTCCTATCGTTCGATAGGCTTTAATGCAATCTTCCCACCTTCGCTTCGGTCTACCCCTCGGACCCTTACCATTCGGCATAGCAAATATTAACCTTTTAGGAATTCTCTCGTTACTAAGCCCAACAACTTTACAAGCCCATTTGATTCGCCGCGATGAAATTACCTCAATTATATTACCCGGATACAGCTCACGCAATTCGGCGTTGTGTAACCGTCTGAACTCTCCGGTTAACTCATCCTTCTTTGGTCCGAATATTCTACGCAATACTTTATTTTCAAAAACCTTAAGACTTTTAGTTTTAGTTTTTTAGTTTAGTTTAGTTTTTAATCGATTTTAGTTTACATATTTTATTCATTCATGTAGCTTATACGTTATAAATTAATTTTTTTTTACTTCATATTATTGGGGGATGGAGAGGGGAAACGATATATTTGCCGCCTCAACATTTTTGTTGGGGAGGCGATCGCCCTCCTCGCCCCCCCCTCAAATCTGCGCCTATGGGAGGAGGAACAGGAAACCTAGGAGAGGAAAAGAAGACACGATTATCCTTAGCCTCAGGATTAGAGATGAGTAAGGATCGGTGCCAATTAGGAGATGACTGCTAGCTCCCATCTATCAGCATCCTCTTTCCCTTTCCTTCTTCTTCTGCACTTTATCAAAGGATCTCCAGAGGCTTAAGAAATTTACCAGGCCTCGCTGGTAATGAACGAAAGCCAGCCCTAACCGCCTTGCCTTCTCAACCTATCTAATCTGTTTTGAAACAAGCCACAGCTCCACCTGATAGGATTCCAGGTTCTGTTTTATGCAATCAATTTAATTAAAGTATAATGGAGAACTTTTACTTAGTTCATTTTAAAATTAATTTCAGAATCAGTTAATCTTGTATTATTGGTAACATTTTTACGTTGTCATTATCGTTTCAAAGCGAGCAGACGATTTTTTTTTTTTTGGAGTTCCCATTTCATATCAGTATGTCAGCCTATTTTTTTTTCATTTTCCATGGGTTTTGCGTAGAACTTCACAGCTTGTTAGCTCTTGAAGATATTTCACCTGAAGTTGTGTAAAAAACTAAGGTGTGTGCTTTAGACCACACGACAGAAGTGAAAACATCAACAAAGAGAGATTAATAGAATATAATAGAATAGAATAGAAGAATCAACTTTATTCTGGGACAAAGTCCCTCAAGAATAACAATATTGTACATAAAAATTAATATAACATCTGGCCAAAATGCATATTACAATAAAAAAATAAAAATAAAATAAGTAATAACAGAAGGATTTACATAACTATACTGATAAATTAAAGATATAATATGAGCAATAAGGTCCTAATACTGCAAGATAGTTACTAAAAACAATAAACTATGGAATTTTAAGTGAAATTTGAAATGAACGACAAATTACTTTTTTTGTCATACCATTGTATTAATGAAAAAAATAATATTAAAAGAGTGGATAAATATTTACTTTAAATAATTTACATATGTACTTTAATATATTCAAAGAATACAATAATAGTATTGTAAACATTATACAAGTCCTATATAATCTAAATCCTAAGATGTAGATTGATCGGTGAAAATAAAATAATATATACATATACACGAGATTCATTCATTCATTCTAATATATTAATAATATGAAATATAAATTATAAATGAAAGCTCATTATAAAGAGGAGGGAATGCCGAACATTCCCATCGCTTACAGTATGCAGGTCCGATTTTCAGTTACTGAGATATTTTAATCCATTATTTCTCGGTATTATTTGGGTTTCGGCGCTATTTTTTTTTTATTTTCCTCTCTCTAACACGACGTCTCGTTAAGATACAATTTTTAATAACAACCTATTGCAGAGAGGAGGAAATGATGAACATTTCTCTCGTTAATAATATACAGGTCCGATTTTTAGTTTTGGAGATATTTTAATCGATATGAAAAAACACTTCAATTAGTCGACTCCAGACGACTTTATCCAAGCGTTACACATCGGTGGTCTGATGGCTCAATCTAGTTCACTCCCCCAAGAAAAAAAAATGTGTGAAACGCGCCTAAAGAAGTTTTCAATTCAAATATACCATTTTGATATAAATTAAACAAAAGATAATTAGTTGATTTATATTAAATTAGGGTAGTTATATTAAAAGTAGGGTCTCGATAAATTAGTATGGTTTATACACCACATCAGTTATGCAAAAATATGTAAGTATACATTAAACAAAATAAAAACACAATAACTTTTGCTTGAACTATAGGAGAAT